AGACTCTAGACAGTTACTAAATTCTAAAGTCTAAATTGGGACAGGTTCTCCTGCTTGAGCAGAGAACTGGACTAGAAGGCCTCCAAGGTCCCTTCCAGTTTATTCTACTCTAAATAACGTCTCAATTACTTCTAATTTACATATGTGCGTGTATGTATGCCTAGGTGCCTTCACAGCATTCTTGGTTCAGCCTTCAAAACAGTCCCGGTTTCTCACATGGTCCCTTGGGAAAATTAATTGCCCACCCCTGCTCTTTGTTGTGGGTGTGCAGGTTCTGGAGGCACTATTTTCTGAGAGCCCTTTTGCTCAGAATTGCAACTGTCCCTTTACTTTGCCCAAAGAATAAACGTCTGGGCTTTCTGTCTTCATTAATTCATTCAAATTTGTGTGTCACCCATCTCGTCTAAGCTTTTACAAACGTTATACAAAGAGCAAAAGGCTTTTGGCAAGGAGATGTGGAGAAACACCTCTGGCCACAGGACCAAGCAACTGCACAGCTTACCCACAGCCCTTTTGCTATTTGCAGCACCAGAGTATTGGGGCAACCTCTGGAAAAGGCAGGGAGAGCAAAGGGATGGAAGAGAGAGACAGAAAGATAAAGAAAATCCCCATTGCAGAAGCAAGAGCAAGGTTGGTTCATGTTGGATTTAAGACCCTGTATCCCCACAGCTAAGACTCTGAGCTTGTCGATCGAAGGTTGGCAATTCAGCGGTTCGAATCCCTAGTGCCACATAACGGGGTGAGCTCCCGTTACTTGTCCCAGCTTCCGCCAACCTAGCAGTTCGAAAGCACGTCAAAAATGCAAGTAGAAAAAATAGGGACCACCTTTGGTGGGAAGGTAACAGCATTCCGTGCGCCTTTGGCATTTAGTTATGCCGACCACATGACCACGGAGACATCTTCAGACAGCACTGGCTCTTCAGCTTTGAAACGGAGATGAGCACCACCCTCTAGAGTCAGGAACGACTAACACATATGTGCGAGGGGAACCTTTACCTTTTACCCCCACAGCAACTTTTTCCTTTGGGAAATGGGGTTGGCTCATTAAAGTGGGGGAACACAAAGACTTTTCTCCCTGCAGGGGCTTTTTCTTACTTTATGTCCTATGTGGGTTATACTGGGAGTGGCCAAAAGCCATCACTTATATCGAATGGGTTTTCCTAGATGGAAAGGAAATGTGGTGTCTTTATTCTGTGGTGAGAACTGTACCGCATGAGATGTTCTTGTGGCAGAAAGAAACAATTCCACAAATTTATATGCTTTCCCACAATGCTCCGAAGAGCCACGTTTGAGCCTTCCTGTTGGATGTGTTTGTGAAATTCACAGAACATGCATCTCTGGAGAAATTAACCGATACAAAACCAAGTTTTTAAGGGGAGGGGGGGAAGCCCTCCACTTGAAACAAGGCAGATAAAAGCAGAACTGACCTAGTTAGAAGCTGCAGATGAATAATCCTGCAATAAATCCTCTTCCTCCCTCTCACTTCAAAGCCAGCACGAACTACACACCACAGAGAATTCTAATCTAACGTTCTCTTTTGTGTGAGTTCCTCACCTGCCATCTTACGTGGTACAAAATAATTTTATCACTATCTACAATGTGTGTGAATGGGTCCAAAGAAGTTAATTTTCTAAAAAGAGAGCCAGTTTGGTCTAGTGGTTAAGGTTGTTGTTAGTTGTGAAGTCATGTTCAACCCATTATGACCCCATGTACAACGTTCCTCCAGGCCTTCCTGTCCTCTACCATCCTCTGGAGTCCATTTAAGCTCACACCTACTTCTTCAGTGACTCCATCCAGCCACCTCATTCTCTTTTGCCCTCAAACTTTCCCAGCATTAGGCTCTTCTCCAGTGAGTCCTTCCTTCTCATTAGGTGGCCAAAATATTTGAGTTTCATCTTCAGGATCTGGCCTTCTAAAGAGCAGTCAGGGTTGATCTCCCCTAGGACTGACCGGTTGGATCGCCTTGCAGTCCAAGGGATTCGCAGGAGTCTTCTCCAGCACCATAGTTCAAAGGCCTCAATTCTTTGGCGCTCAGCCTTTCTTATGGTCCAACTTTCACAGCCATACATTGCAACTGGGAAAACCATAGCCTTGACTATATGCACTTTACTTAAGCTAGAAAGTGGGAGACTCAAGAGTTCAAGTCCTGCCTCAGATACCAAAGCCGGCTGGGTGACTTGGGGCCAGTCACTCTCCCTCAGCCCAACCCACCTCACAGGGTTGTTGTTGTGAGGGCAATAGGAGGAAAAAGGTGTTTGCTGCCCTGAGTTATTTGTAAAAACAATGGAGGCAAGATATTAAACAAACATATAAATAAATAAGACAATCATATGCTTTCTCCATGAATCCCTTTTATGATAAGTTTTAGGATTAATTTTATTGTCAGGATTCAGAACAGGCACAAAGTATTGCCAAAGCCTATAAATTCATAGGAAAAGAAGAAATGGGCATTTAGCCAGCAAACATTTGCCTGCACTATTATACTGAAATTAGACAGCACCATGCTCTCTTTTAATTAACTTTGGCTGCATTCAAATTAATGTGAACATTGACTGGTTTGTCTTATAAAGCATTCTAAGCCATATGTGTATATTGTGTCACTCTGTTTTTAAATGTGAAGTTCTTACCAAAAGTAGGTGGGGTTAATTGGAAATCATAAAAATGTGGTCTTGGAGTACAGTTTTCAATATAACTTGGAATTCTCCTATCACAAGGGAATTTTGATAAAAATGGGGAAGAATTAAATGGAGTCATTTTCTTTGCAGTAACAGAGTGGGAGAAAAACACTTTGCATTACTGCTACATGTTAATTTAAACTTTAAACTATAAATACTGCTGCATGATAGGTGTTAATGGCACCAATCAATATTAGACAATATAAGTTGGATGCATCCTTTGTCTTATAATAAGGCTGCTTGACGTAAGTAAGAGTTGCATCCAATCTCTCCTGCTTCCTGAGCCACTCAGACTCTGGGGTTCAAGAGCATCAGATGCTACTGTCAAGCCTGTTGAAAGATCTTCTGGAACAGACCATGCTGCCATTTCTGTGTCCATCTACTACACAATGGATTCCATCTGGGTTCCTGATTGCATAAGAATCTCCAGGGAACATTACCAAGGGAACTTTCAGATCTTTGCCAAGATATTCAGGCTGGAACAGATGGCATGGAGGTCGAGGAATGTTGGATATAGAGCACTCTTGATATGGTCCCACACCCCATCCCATTTCTGATCTTCATTTAAGGATTCTTTCATTGTTTCACGGCTTTACCTTTAATAAGGACACAGTTTTATCCATGTAATTGATTAACAGAAGCTTCTGAGATATTTTGTGGATCGGACTAAAATTCAGCACAATCAGTAGGTTTTCTTTCTTCAGATTCTTAGAAAACTGATATATGAGTAACGTTCTATAAGCAAACAGTGTAGAAAAATCAAATATGTGTATGCCTACATATATCTTTTAATTGCGTTTAATATGTTCATGATTGAGATGGAATTTTTGACTACAAAATGAACAATATACACAATACCATTGGTTGATTGATTATTTTTTCCCCAGGATAATCTATCTCTAATGTGGTCTTCAGGTTAGGGTTACAATGACGTAATAATCCTTCTATGCATGGCAGAATAGGATGAAATATCTTTACTCCTATTGAGTCAGTTTTTTCTCACCTTCCAAGATAGTGTCTCATCTGAAATGTATTAGAGTATAATACTGCCTTTAAAAAGTGACTCTTCGTGCAGTTATTCCAATAGTTTATAAGGAAACATTCCAGTAAAAGACCACTGAATATCTGTTTAATAACCAATCACCCTGAATTTTCAGAAGACTGTTAGACCTGTTTTGCCTGAATAGAATTTTACAAAGGTTGGACAAGATGCCTTTGTGAAAACCAAAGATCTTGTTCCCTTTGCAACCCAACTGTGACCAGGCTAGCAGAATCTATTTCTTTATTTATGATCCCAGACCAATAAAGACAAGAGTCTATTAGATTATGCCAAAGAAATTCAGTGGTATATATTTTGATGGGTTGTTTGCTTTTAACAAAATAGGAAAAGAAGTACATATGGTAAACTTCTGCCAGGCTTAATGCATCTATCTTAATTAAAACACACACACACCCCATCCATAATTTTTTTTAAAAAATCACCCAGTAATACCATTGCCATGTCCCTTTCTGCCCTTGGTGGATATTTTTTTTAAAAGTAAAAATGCATCATTCCCACTATGGAAAACTTGCCTATACATTCCTGATGCATAGTATATATGGGGAGTCAGTTTGTGGTAGCTAAAGGCATCAGCTACAAACCATTAGATTACTAATCCCACTTTAGGCTTGAAGTCAGCTGGGTGACTTTGGGCCAGCCTAACTACTGAACTAACTACTACCAAAAATATAATCAAGAAAACTTCAGGGCCTTCTCTAGACAATTACCAGAAGACAATACTGACTCCTAGTCCAGAGGTTATGGGTGCCTGGTGCTCCAACACTGAAGGTTTTTAAGAAGAGCTTCTAAACCATTTGTCTGATTTGTATAGGGTCTCCTGGTTGAGCAGGGGGTTGGACTAGAAGACCTCCAAGGTCCCTTCCAACTCTGTAATTCTGTTATTCCAAGGTACACACACACACACACACACACACACACACACACACAGAGAGGGGGGGGGGAAAGAGAGATTGGCTATTCTACCAATCTGACAATGGTGTATCTCACCCATAGAAGCTGTATTATACAATAGCTATGTAAATGACATTATATCTTAACAATATAATTTTCCCTCATATTTTTACTGGAAAGGTCTGTAATCATCTTCACTTATGCCGCCAACATTTTCCTGATATAATACTGAAAGAATTACATGGACCAAAATTTGGTGGAGGAAGTTGGCATCCCCTGGGGTGACACTTGTAAGAACTACTGGAATTGAACCATGAACAGATATGACATTAAATCGTATGAATAGATGAATGCAGGAGATGCCAAAGACTTACCACTGAAGACTTCCGGAGACTTAGACGATCTGTTCGGGCTCTGAAATACACTTCATCAAAGGATGAGTGGCTTCCCTTCAGCTTCTCAGAGAGGTTCCGGTAGAGACGCTTGGCGGCATTGGGAGAAGATGGAGGGTTATTCTTTTTGGTCTGGGAAAGTTGTAAGCTCTGCATTTGCTGGGTCATTTTTCACAGGGCAGTTCCTACAAAAGAGGCAGGACAGCTTTGCTATTAGAACAAGGACACTCTTGAACCTGGCAAGTGAGTTCATTGGAAATAACCTATATTAGAATCTTAGAAATCTAAGTTTCTGCATGAAAACAGCAGTTTTTGCAAACAAAAGAAGAAATTATGCCAGTGGTAAATATTCGGCCTGTTTTCAGCCTGCCTTCTCAGTTCCAAATCAAATTACTTTTGTTCAGTTTCTCTGGAATGGAAACAATTTTGAAATTCCTCATCTTGATTGATGCACTTGTTCTTTTTAATGCTGATTGGGGCCTTTTAAAAACCCTGGAGTATAGTGTTTATCTGAGCACTATCCTATTCCATATTCATATTTTTGCTTTCTCTGTCACTGTAATTTCATTTTCCGTTATTTTTTCTTTATTAGAGTCAATAGCCCAATCTTGAGAGTGGGCAGAGAAATCTGAAGTGCCAAAAGCATTTTTGGCACTCTGTTTTAACTGGTTTACATTGGGGCCTTTGACTAAACCATACTCATCCCATCATTTCATATGCTGAATTATATTTCAGATGGGATCCTTTCCTCCATGGGTGGGACCCAAGCAACTGCTGCCACCTTAAATAAATAAATAAAATTGCTGGTTCTGTTGTGTCAGGAAATTTTGCAAAAAGGGAAAAGGAACAACATGCCAGTGACCAAGTAAACTATGATTTCTCAGAACATCTCAGGAACTCTGTAGCACAGAGCGATGGGATGTATATTTGTCAGACCTAAGAAACTTGGTACTTCCATTTGAAAGAATCAAGCAACTGAGAGGGAAAACTTTGGCCAAATACCCAATGGAGCTGCTGTCCATCACAAGTAAAGTAATATCAGGCTAGAGGGAGCCATTGGCCAGCCTCACATTAGGACTTTCGCAATGTTTCTTTCGTGACCCTGTCAAAGGGTGCCCTGCTTCTTTCTATTCTCGACACTGCCTATCCCCTCTAGTTTTCCTTTGGCTTTGATCTGATTGTGCTTCTTTGAAAAGGCAGGAGCAATCCACCATAAATGATTTTTGCAGAAAAAGAAAACCAAGTTTTTCAACATTTAAAATAAACACATATATTTTCTCATTGCTTGCACATAAGGAACAAATTTGTCTTGCGCTCTAGAGACAGGCAAAATCTTGGGGCAAAAGGGACACTTTTGTAAAGTTGTGAGCTTGGGGGTGGTCTAATAAAATGATACCAGGAGCGATAGTGGTGGGAGTGGGACTCACAAAATAAGGAGTTGACATTTAGGAAACAGCCATAGAAACTCTAGCTCCCCTGTGTAACAACAGTCTGGTTGTTACCTGCACACACTTCTGGCCAGTTCTTCAAAGGGGACCAGGTCAAGAAAGAGACTCCACAAGTACTACTACACTTATGCTGTATTAATATAGACTATAGTAACAAAATCTTGAAAGCCTTTTCTCCTTCCTTCCCTCTTATGTTCCAGAGTGCTAAGGCAGAGCTAATTTGAATTTCATCCCATATTCTTCCTGATCTGGACTTAAATCATATAAAACTATTGTTACAATTTTTCCAAACCCATCTCTGTCGCTCTGAAGAAAGCACTGTGCTGTACTATCCACCCATTTGATGTATAATCGACGTGTTAAGGATCACCCAGGTTTCAATGCTCACTTTATAATGGGAAAGTGAGTGTTTTTGTGTAACTTAATTCAGAAATTCAACAATGGAATGTGTGGGATGAACTGCTTTCTTAGAGTAGTGTCATTCCTTCCTTTGATCCAGTCCATAATGAAGTCCCAGCCTTGCTTTGATAACCAGGCCTCAGAAGTATTTCTATTTTTCTTCCCACTGAACCCTTCTCACTAATTGGTCATACAATTCAGCAGAGGCACAAGGCCTGGTATCACTCTCAACTTTCTACCTGTTAAAAGTGATGGTGGCGAATGTCTGAAACCTAAATTGGCTTAAATCACAAATAGCCTTGCACGCTTCCAAGACTGGTGAACTATTGTAAACAGATGAATTCTCTAAATGGCTAACATATGCCAGGAGACAAGCTAATAATTGGTATGTTCATTGAAGAACATGCTTCATTAAACTCAAATGACAGTTTCTATAAATGGAAAAGAAACCTGAGAAGTTCTTCCCCGCACATGAAAAAGATAGGAGGAGTGAGAACAAAAAGGTAGGTGGAAGTTTATCTTGACTTTTTAAGATGTAGCAACTTAAAACATAGGAGAAGCAGAGGCAGATCTCTTGGTTATGTCCCTGAATACCCCAATTATCTCTTGGCTTTAAAAGAGCTGTCCGATCTTTTCTTCATGAGATAGAGACAGATATATGCTGTCCAGAGTCACTTTGTGTGAAATTTATTTATTCTATCTAGATAGATAAATAGAAAGATGGAAAGATAGACAGACAGACAGACAGACTGACCGACACAGGGATAAATAGATAATTATAGATAATAGATAGATAGATATAGATAGATGATAGATGATAGATAGATAGATAGATAGATAGATAGATAGATAGATAGATAGATAGATAGATAGATAGAGATAGATAGATGGTAGATAGACAGACAGAGGGATAAATAGATAAATATAGATAATAGATAGATAAGATGGATGATAGATAGATAGATAGATAGATAGATAGATAGATAGATAGATAATAGATAGATAGATAGATAGATAGATAGACAGACAGACAGACAGACAGACGGATAAATAAATATAGATAGATGATAGATAGATAGATAGATAGATAGATATAGATAGATAGATATAGATAGATGATAGATAGATGATGGATAGATGGATAGATAGATAGACAGACACACTATAGAAATCTTTATCCTTCCATGTTTGAAAATAGATATTAATGTTCATAATATTGATTTCTATTTTGAAGCTTAGAATGGAACCTTGTTGTATTCAGCCCTCATTAATTTCTGCAGTAGATAAGGGTATTATTAACCCACCCCTTTAAAAAAAAACTCTCAGGCTTTCCCCTGCTATACTATGTAGTTCTAAAGCAAAGTTCCTTTTGGAGATGGCATGCTATTATGGGCATTCCCATAAAGTAGCCCTCATCCTTTACTAAACAACTCATCCTTTACTAAGAGGCAAGGTTGCTTCTCACTAACCCCTCTAGCTTCTTATTATGCTGCCTGTCACCTCATCTTGTCTTTGTAAAAAAATAATAATTCCTAGGCAAATGAACGTACATCAGAAGAAGCCTGGCTTGCTGCCATTTCCTATTTTTATTTTTAAGGTGACTTTGGGGATCTCTGTTAATGTGTCTGTTTCAAGAGAGAGAAAGCTGGCTGAGCACCTTTGATGGAAGGAAAATTGAGGGAAAGTGAGCTTTAGAATGAGAACTAAAAGAGTGGAAATGTTTTGTCAGGCTTACTGAAATGAAGACAGGGTACCAGGATGTGTACAGATTCCAGAACTAGAGTGATTTTGAAACTGACCAAGATGTTGGATTCAAGATTATGATATTGGCAGTTTATGAGGCAGAGTGGGAACCAATCAGAACAGAAAACCTTCTTGATGTTATACTGTATACCTGGAAGTAGGCTCCACATGGTAACAGATTAACAGAGTTGGAAGGGACGTTGTAGATCATCCAGTTCAACCTCATGCCCAAGCAGGAGACCCTACACCATTTCTGACAAATGGCAGTCCAATCTCTTCTTGAAAGTCTCAAGTGATGACGCTCCCACAACTTCCGAAGGCAAGCTGTTCCACTGATTGATTGTTCTCACTGTCAGAAAATTTCTCCTTATTTCCAGGTTAAATCTCTCCTTGTTCAGTTTCCATCCATTATTCCTTGTCTGGCCTACAAGTACTTTAGAAAATAGCTTGACCCGTTCCTCTCTGTGGCAGCCCATCAAATATTGGAAGACTGCTATCATGTCTCCCCTGGTCCTTCTTTTCACTAGACTAGCCATGCCTAGTTCCTGTAACCGTTCTTCATATATTTTAATTTCCAGTCCCCTAATCACCCTGGTAGAAGAGTCCTTCAGGAGTAGGGCGGTATACAAATCAAATAAACTAAACTAAACTAAACCCATCTGCATATTGCTCTAGGCTAGATTATGAAGCCTTCAGTTCTCTAGACTGAGCATGCTTCTGGCAGGTCTACCAATCTGTCTGGGTTGGCCTCCAGTTTTAGCAATAGCTTTGGGATAGGCAAATAATTAATTTCCTTTTTGTTTTTAACTAGCAACCAAGGTAAATTGCAAAACAGACGTTTAACTCAAAACTGATTCTTTTTTAGGGAATCCATACTGTCTTGTCCTTGTTTGGGGTGGCCTAGATCAGTGATTCTCAGCCTTTTCTTCATCACCAACTCCCTTTAAATACCTTTTGTGACCACGGACCCCCAAGACTTAACTCAAGATTTAAATCATAACATTTCCTCAAATGTTTGTGGACCCCCTGTGATGGCATCATGCCCCCACCACCTCCAGGGTCCATGGATCACAGGTTGAGAACCACAAGCCTTGATGGTCCCCCAAATACCTTCTATTCCTTACATTTAACAATTCTATGAACTTTAAGATAATAGATTCAGTTTCTTTCCTTTTTCTACTTTCAATTTTTTTGTGGGCAACTGTTTTCAACAGGTGTCCCCACACACTTTCTTTCTTAGACTCATCTGCTACCAATACTCTAGACCAGAGGTGTCAAACTTGTGGCCCGCGGTCCAGATGCATCACGCGTTGGCCACGGCCATGCCCAGTTTAGCGAAGGGGGAAAAAGTTGTGACGACGCCATGATGACACGAGTTTGACACCTCTGCTGTAGACGATCATTGATTTCTAATAAAGCGATTTGGCATTCTCTTAGCATTCACACATGTTCTATTGTATGCTTAGGGTATTTCCTGAATATGAGGAACTGTCATCTTATTTTAGGCAGCTCAGTCTGGGTTCAAGTCATAGGCAATCATCTAGGTTCATTTACTTCACTAATACAATATGATGAGGAGAAATAAATTATCATTT